AAAAAAAACCCAAGAACATATTAATTCAGAACATATTATACAGTGCAATTTGGACAGCCTAACCCCAAAATATATAGTATATATATAAATAAAACTATTCAATATTAGACTCATTTCGAAGGTATTAACGAGACGATTATAATGGTGTAACTTGTTAAAATAAAAATGTATTTTTTAAACATGTTTTAATTGATATACGATTATGTATATTAATTTCATAAAGGTTTAAAATGAAACATTTAAAAGTAAATGTCGTAAAGTAAATTAATTAACTAATTATAGGGGTATAAAATGTAAATTTAAAATTATAATTTAAAAAAATTCGATTGTGAGAGGGTGAGTGTATGTGAGTAGATGAGGAGGTGAAAAAGTGATATAAAATGTATCTTGGTCATTTAGTATTTTAAGACTTTAAGATTTTTGTTAAATTTGTTTTGTAAGATAGTATAGATATAGATATATATAGATAACAATATATTTTATATTGGTTCTGTCTTTGATGATTTATATTTTATTATAAACAACAATTCTTGATTTTTATTTCTCATTAAATCCATATCGATTTTAATATAAAAAAAAACAAAGAGTTATAACAATGGTTCAAAAATTTGTTCTTATTCTTTCGTACAATGTGTAAAATTGTACAAAGTAGAATAAGAGTGGCACATTGATTATGTTGGTTGAGTTAAAGATATTTGAATAATTCAACTTAATATTTGTGGTTTAAAAAATCTCAACCCAACTTAACCTAAGGAAAACTACAACCCAACCCATCACAACCGTACATGTTAGGTTGGTCGGGTTGAAATATATTGATACATTATTTTACAATCTAGCTAAGTGTTTATAACAAACTCAAAAAAAATAAATTAAAAGTTCATGCAAATAAGATAGTAAAATTAGAATTGAAATTATAATATAATTTTGAATATAGCTAAATACATATTAGTCTAATGTCTAATATATATGTTAACCAAGAACTTAAGAATCATATTAAATGTATAGTATAAAAATACATCGGGTTCATCAGATTGATATGGGTTCAAATGACCCTAATCCAAGTCCAAGATGCAGTTTGACCTGATTTGTATCAATTATGTGTCGGTTTACCTTATATTAAGGGTTTTTAGGTTTTTTCAGGTTGGATTAATGGGGTTGATCGGTATTTTGAATACGCTAACCAGAATAAACGTTATTTAGAAATACTAGAAGGGTACTCGCACAATGCAGCGAGATACATCTTGATTTTAATATTTCATTTTTATTTTTTATCTCAGTCGATRTTATAATATGGTYTTATGTGATTTTGARAAAGCGAKGATGTTTTTATTTTTSAATAAAATRTAWRTTTRAAGWTATCATAAAAATTTGACAAAAATATGTCGATATTAGTATCAAATTAACTATTTAAAATTCTTAATTTTTTGTGTAATTTTTTAATTTAATTTTTTTATTATAATTTAATTTAGATTCAATAACGAAGTAATTTATATTTGATTTAATAATATAATTTTTTATAAAGATAATAATTAATAATTTTGTTAGAACTCAATAATTATCTTAATTATATTTTAGATTTTTATATTTTAAAATGATATGTTCATCCTCTATTTGATTATGTTTATCCACAATTTTTTATACGAATTCAAACATCGAGCTTTTATAAGTTGTATTTATGCATAATTACTTGTAATCTTGAATTTTAAGTAATATACATCGATATATAATACTTCATATATAACATGCTTTGTGATGTAGTATAGATATTATTGTCACAAAAAATAAATAACCATACAAGATTTATAAAATAATTTAAAAGAAGCGGCGCATTTACCCCTGTTGTTACGGACCGCAGGTAACGGCTCCACGACGGTGAGGGATGTTTGCTCTTTCTTCTATATTGGAGTGATCTAACGAGTGTGATGGAGAATCGGGAGGATCTTAATTCCATTTTAGAGTTTTTGCCGGTAGTTCTCCGGTCAACAGCACTCTTCTGGCCGTCTCAAGTGGTGAAAGCACTTAAAGCACTTTCCAAAGGCCCCGAACACAGCAAGGTTGACTCCGGCGAGGTCCTCTTCCTTGCAATTTCTGATATCCGGCGGTCTCTTAACCTCTCTGCTGGTGACCTCGCCTTTTCCACCGCCGATGGTTTCTCGCTTTTCTTCGATGATGTAAGTAAAGGATAAATCAAACCTAATACGTCCCAACGTGTAAACTTGATATGAACTTTGTTGTCAATTTTAGTAAATGTGTTTGGGGAAATAGTTTCGTAGATCAAAATCGACATATCAATGGTTTGTAAAGAATAGTTTTAGAGTGATTACTTGAAGAAATATTGCAATTAGTACTGAACTATAGATGTCGAAATAGGAATTATTCCATTTTTTATGGAGGAAGGCTGTACTGTTATCAATTTGACATTTGAAAGCATTAGGTTTGAATTTTGCTATACTTGTAGCTCTTCTATGGGAAGTCAATAATAGCATCTCTTTGGGATGGAGGGAGAATTCTTTTTCACTTTTTATTACTCATTCCTTTCTCATTCCTTCTCTATATGCATCAACTAATCCATGAACAGCTGATCTCGCGTGCCGAAGCCAATAAATGGTTTAGAGAGATACTTCCAGCGTTGGCAGATTCTCTGTTGCGGCTTCCAGGTATGCTAGAAGCTCACTATCAGAGTGCAGACTCCATTAGTTGTATCGGTGCTAGGAATGGACTCAAAATGGGTCTTCGCCTGTTGAAGTCACAAGAGGCTGGCATAGTTCTACTCAGCAAGGTATAAAAAGCATAACATTTAAGCTCTCTACTGTCTTTATTAAGTTTAGAAAGTGAACCATACAATAGTGATGTGAAAATATTCTCATTGCAACAAATAAGTGCGGATTAACAAAAAATGATGTATTAGATAGGAATATAAGTCACTTGATTGCTAGGATACGGCCAGAATTTTCAAGGAAATTCGTTCACCATTTACCTTCTACCCTACCCGTCACCTGGATAGAAATGCTTACTCTTTATTGAAAATATGTTTCATTCCTATATTAAACAGTTTTTGTAACAGAAAATTTCCTCGATGCATATTTCAAAATTCTTTTGTTCTTTTACATATTTATTGGTTCGCCTTTTTGAGCATCAATGTCTATGTCAAATAATACATTGGATGTGGTATATAGTTTTTAATTACAATTTATAATTTTTGAATCAGGAACTGATTGGCGCTCTTCTTGCATGCTCTTTCTTTTGTCTGTTTCCAAACAGTTGTAGAGGTGCCAACCATCTTCAAGTGATCAACTTTGATCATTTATTTGCGTATGTTTTTCTTATCGTTTTCTCCTAAACCATTTTAATCTTATGCGTAGGTGACCTCTGTATAGTCATCAGCCTATCAGAATGCATTGTAGTCGATATTTATTTTACTTGTATGCTCAATGTCTTGTGTTTTCTTGATGTCTGTTGATACTTTCCTATATATGGTTCATTACTTTGTTTTTACACATCTGATTTGCATGTCACCAGGAGCCTATATGACAGCTATAACGAAAAACAGGAGAACAAAATTAAATGCATCATTCATTATTTTGAGAGAATTTCGTCAAGTACGCCAGTAGGCAATGTCTCATTTGAGAGGAAAGTGCTTGCAGCAGATCACAATCTCAAATACATTTTCTCCCCGAAGACTGAATCTTGGAGTAAATCTGTGGTCTCCCTGTGCCTGTTTGAGGTATGGTCCAATATCTTAGCATATGAAGCACTTAGCTTACATCACACCTGCTATTCCAAATTTGTTGTGGGTTAGGCTGGACATGGAACCCATCAGTTAGAGGATTTAAAGGCATATGCAAATCTTCCTCCTCGAGGAGTCTGCATTTGATAGCGAGTTCTGAAGAGAGTTTCATGATTTACACTTTATCTAGTTTGGGCGTGAAGATGGCAGTACATGTTTTCACCATTCTTCTTGTTAAGCAAGTTAATAGCACATGTTGTTATGATGTATTTATATGCAATTGAATGGTACCGACTATTTTCCATTATATGTAATTGTCCTCTCCCCCTACCATATTAAACAATTCCAAGAGCTAGTTTTATCCATTGTAATTATTGTTTAAATAGAAATGGTGTTAAATTTTATTAGGTTTTCATTGGAATTATTGTGTTTGGTGCATTTTGCGTTGGAATTTCGTGTCTCTGGTTGTGGGATGGTGGGAGGATACAATGATTGAAAATGGGTCTATATTAGATGGACGGGATAGTAGTTAATAGCATTCTTTCATCGTTATAGGTTTGCAGTTCGGGATTAATAGAAGATCATTCCAAGGAAGCTCTGGAAGTAGATTTTGCAAATAAGTACTTTGGTGGTGGTGCTCTAGCCAGAGGGTGTGTTCAGGTTTGCTTATTTCTTATCCCTGATATGATTTCCAGAAGGCAGGTTACCCTAGCACAGGGCGTGCTGGCAGTTGCTTGCTGGTATAATGTTTAAGTTCGTTTACCACACACCTTACAACACTTCAATGGTGATAGTAGACATGATTTAGAAAGGCCATTCTTGGATGGTTAGAACTATTTCCTACATAATAACACGGGAATAGCTGGTCTTCCAACTAATATAAGGTCGAAGTTGATCTACAAACTTCTGGAACCTGTTTGAATGTCATCTCATGCAGTAACTAGTAGTTGTTTGAACTCTTTAATGTCCATTATATTGTATAGTAGAAGTTTTGGGTGGCTTTTTTTTTTTTGACATAGGGTGGCTTTCATTTATATAAATCCTAACTCCTTTGTTGAGATTTCACTATTTGTGACTATCTTCTGTTTGGTTAATTTATAGAGTAAAATCCTGGTGATCTATTAGTCCCTTGGTTCAGATTTTTTGTCGGGTTTTAGCATTTAGTTTCATAGCAAAAAACCCCATCATAGGAATCCTTTCAGGAGACAGATTAAAAGGTTTTGAGTCTCATTCTACTTAAGAGAACATGTGTCCTCCTTTGGAGCTATCCACCTACCTCGATAAGCTAGAGCCTTGGACACATGCTTGGAAAGTAATGTAATTGGGAAAACAGTGAGTGTAGCTGGGCTATTCAGAAGCACGGAGAAAACTTGTATGGCATGATCAGTAACATGGAGTACCAGAGCTTAAAGAATCTCAAATGGGACTATGGGGTAACTGAAGGACAGAATGAATGAACTCAGACATTACAATTGGCTTGACTAGACATGGAAAAATAGTTGAAATGTAGAAAAATTCAACTTATGCAGAAACATGTTATCTTTGTAAGCTAAGATTACACACCTATATCTTTTTTGGCCCTTAAATATATTATAACGCCACATCTTGGATCAAATTTGGTAAGCTTGATACAAAAGTCGCCATCATAACAAATGTTGTTTACTCTTTAGGAATGACTTGGAAGAGAGGTGTTGAGGAAGGAATTCTATAGGAAACTTTACCCTTATTTTTTGCATAGATAACTAACTCTAAAATTTGCATCCCAAAAACTTGTATTGGATGTTAATGAAAAAAGTGAAATGAATTGATATATTGACCAAGGGTGAGATCCTACTTAATCTAAGTATAGTAGGCCATGGATGTAAATAGTAAGCCTATGTGTAAAGACTCGATTTAGGTGAAAGGCAGTATATGCTAGGCTAGGTAGTTCTGGATGGATGCTTTGCCTAGCATATGCTGCAAAGGAAGTAAAAGGGTCATTGGCCCAATGGTACCTGAGTTACCTATAGAGGCACAACCTCCGAGGAGGTCAACTCAAATCTCACCGAAGGTGAGAACAACTATTTGCCGTATATAAATATTGTATACTTAAAAAAAGATGGCTTGTAATACATGCATTTCTAGGTTGTATATAGGGATGTAGGCATCATTTGGGCTTGCGTAGTGAGAGGGTGTTCCGATATAATAGTTGCAACAATGGTGTATTATGGGCAAATGGATGAAATTAGCGTGATATTATGGTGTTAGGCGTGGAACTATGTAACCCAAGGTAGAGATGTAGTTGATTGAAGATCTTGGTGACTTGCAGAGGGATTCGATAAAAACAAGTAAAAACCAACAAGTTGGGAATAGGTGACTCTTTAAACATCATACTTTGGATGGCAATCGTGAAAAGTTATACGAGTGATTTGAAAACGCATCCATAGAAAGTTCTAAATAATTTAAAGCAATGATGTGACTTGATAGGGCAAGTTCCTTAAACAAATGAACGTTATGAAAGCTACAACTAGCCCTCGGCACTTGTAGAAGGATACAACACCCATGTTTGTTTACTTGGTTGCAATTTTCTTGGATATCCTATATATTACTATGAGCTACTATGCAATAAGAAATTACCGGTGATTTGATATGCACCCTGTCACTTACACCATGTTTCAATTATCTAGGAAGTGGTGAGCATTAAAGTTTCAATGGTATGAAAAGAGAGAAACTGGGTCGTCAGTGATTTGAGTAACAGGCTTAAGGTTTTCAGGGAAGGTAGGCATGTTTATGACATTCAGAGGTTTGCTAAAACAATCTGGGTAAGAGCCAACAGGGCAAGAGGATCGGAGTAAGGCTCTGTCTCGAGTAATCGTGAACTAAAAATGCATATTGTTCTTCGACAGTAAACATGGAGTTCTCGTATTCCATAAACGGTCGGTCTCGAATGTTGCATATCTTTATAAGATTATGGATTGCAAAACAAGAATATATTATGAATTTTGTATTGGAAGAGAAGGCGTCTTCAACTTTATTGCTTTCAAGAAACAGTATGCTCGTCCAATAACATTTTTAAGTTATCAATGAGCACGATTGGATGTCTTCTTTCGTTAAAACACATAAGTGATTTGCTAACCAATACCTCGTATTGCAATCCAGAGTCATAAATCCATGGGTGTTGGTATATGCAACATCACAAAGATAATATGTGCATTGCACTTGCATTATTTAAAACACATAAAATAATAACCTTTTAATATTAGACAAAAATGATGCATACTTAGTGGAGGAAATAGAAATTCCAAAGTTCGGTCGAATGCACCTTTTCTCAGAACTCTAGAATCATGTGCAATGCATTTCCATCCAACCCAGACATATGTGAATATCATATTAAATTCACATATTGCTTAAAAGTCACATAGTTTGTTGATTTAACTATTTTTTTTGTTTAAAATGGTTATATAAGAGTATATATGCATCACAAGATAGATGCTTCAATTCGTGACATTGAATATTGGACCTACATAATAATTCTTATGTATATGCATGTCTGGTCAATGGAATTGCTATCACTTATCGTTTCTATTCTTCTTTCATCTATTCTCTTCAAATACCAATATGAAATCACCACAATCATCATTAATCTGTTTTGATCCATACATGACCATGTAGATATTTAAACACAAAATATCATCTTATGCTTTGAACATGATAAAAATTTTAACATCAAATTGAAGTAACAACAACATCAAGTTTAAACAACCAATACCAAAAAATAAACATATACATGATATCAGATTGAAACAATCATACCATTAATTCATAATAGTTCAAATGTAACATCAATTGAAACAAACATCGCATCAATTCACAGTAGTCCAAGCTGACGTCAAGTATATTCAACCACCTCACACCTCTCGTCATATACGCGCACCCAAAACTTCCTATAATCAGCGCTTTGACTAAAAAGGAAAAGTACTACCTCGTACAAGTTTTTTTGCACCCAAGTTTTTCCAACTTGTCAATGCATACATCCATAGCAATCCATATGACTATGCTTTGGTGGTTTATTAAAAATGTTTTTCACATGTATCACAACATGAGCTAACTGATCAGATATTGTTGGTTGTTTACTTTTTGTTTTTTTGAGGACGAGAAGCTCACTCATCCGGTGAATATGGTGGTCTTTATGTTGAACTAGGTGGTTCTTGTGTATAATTTAATTCACTATTTTCAATAACTGAGGTAGCAACAAAAGTAAGGGTAGGAACATTAGTGTGCGGTCCCTATCTTTTTGACATCAGTGGAAGTAACTATCAAAGAGTTGTATTTATTCACCTATTTGTATATAATTTATGAGTATATTACGTAAAAAAGCAATATAAGAATATCGAAAATAGAAAGATAATTGTATTTTACCATCCATCTCTATTTGTCATTCCACTTCCGATTAAATGAATGTGTTTGTCGATGCATCATAGACATCCGTTTTGTTTTATTTGTTTTGACAATGTACCATATTAACCTGTAAGGTAGTCGTAGTGGTTTTGCATTGTCTCCAATCGACAATGACATTATGCATTTATGTAGTGTTTCAGCTACATTCTTCCAAGAATGCATCTTAAGTTACCACCTTGAAGTCCATTTATGGATATCGCATGTATACACGATTCGATAAATGTTTTCACCACACTTTCGTTTTTCAAGTTAATGCCAGTTTTCTTCATTGTGGAGATTCACCAACCTATTCCATACATATGACAATTAAATTCAAACATATATGAAAGTGATCATATACAACAACATACATTTGAACTAATGAATCGATGACAATGATCATTCATATATTAGAAGAAAATACATTTGAACCAACAAAGAAATGACAATGATCATCATATATTAGATGAACATATATTTGAATATGGTGATACCCTTAAGATGCATTCTTGGAAGAATGTAGCAGAAACACTATAAAATGCATAATTTCATTGTCAATCAAAAACAAATGAAAGCTCACTATGACTACCTAAAGAAAAATATGGAGCATAATCAAGACTGAAGAACTTCTATAATCCATCGACAAATACATTCAATTCATCGGAAGAGGGAATAACAAATAGTGGTGAAGGTCAAATTATTTTGTTTTCCTGTTTCTAATATCCTTATATTGTTCCTTTATGTATATACTTGTGATTTCTAAATGAATAGTTAAGTTGAGAAGTGCACTACTTTGTCCTGATCTTCATATACAACTCTTTGATGGGGTCACTTCCACAAGAGTTGGGGATCACGACATAGTTCAACACAAGAACTAATATGTTCACCTCATTAGTGTTCTTCTCGTTCTCAAGCAAAAACCTAAACAACCATTAGTATCTGGAGATGAGTTAGCTCATATTGTGACATGTGGAAACACATTATTGACAAACAATAGGAGGCTAATGCTTAGACTAATTTGAGAAACTTGGGTGAGAAGAAAACATGTTCATGGTAGTACTTTTTCTTTTTAGTCAAAGCGTCGATTATAGAAAGCTTTGGTTGTGCTCAAAGGATGAGAGATATGGTTAGATTTACAGTCTTTGACTACTATGAATTAATATAATGTTTGTTTCAATTTGATATTATGTTTGGATTATTATGGTGATGTTTGAACTATTACAAATTTATGGCATGGTTGTTTT